GTTTTTGCACGAAATGAACGAATATAGCAAAAAAAAGTGACGCTCTGTTCCATAAACCGAATAGTAATCGTTGAAGTTAACGCCTATTCAGGTTAGGAAATCTATCACATCGATGGCATAGAGACATGAGAACAAATGAGGCTAGAATAAATATTTTCTACTCTAATTTTATCAAAACTATACTAATACGGCAAGTTAGTATGAACGAAAGCATTGAAATCCTATGGTTGAACTTTACCGGCACCGGCATAAGTTAACGGTTACGGCCATTATAAAGCGGGGAGCACAGACTCTTGCATAACACATAACACGTAATGGATAAAAAAATGAACCAATCAAAATCCTTCGTTTACTTCCTTTCCATGAAATAAAGAACTCTGATTGGATGAATTTCTTATGCCTTATGTATAATGCGTTATGCAAGAGTCTGTGCTCCCCGCTTAAATCAGACTTAATGGCCGCAATACAGACTCTTGCATAACACATAACACGTAATGGATAAAAAAATGAACCAATCAAAATCCTTCGTTTACTTCCTTTCCATGAAATAAAGAACTCTGATTGGATGAATTTCTTATGCCTTATGTATAATGCGTTATGCAAGAGTCTGTGCTCCCCGCTTAAATCAGACTTAATGGCCGCAATACAGACTCTTGCATAACACATAACACGTAATGGATAAAAAAATGAACCAATCAAAATCCTTCGTTTACTTCCTTTCCATGAAATAAAGAACTCTGATTGGATGAATTTCTTATGCCTTATGTATAATGCGTTATGCAAGAGTCTGTGCTCCCCGCTTAAGCGTTGCCGCGTTCTGTGAGCAGAAGCCATAAGAACCAATCGCTCGGTAAGTAGACTGCATTCCGAAACCCATCGAAAAAAAAGCGTTGCAACCTTTTTAGTCCTGACCGTACATAGAGTATACAAAATTTAAAATGATCGCTATAAAATAAGACGTAACGTTATTGTCAAAAGCGAAATTGTATAGCATACAATGCTAGGCCTGCTTGAATTCGGACATTTAACATTCGATAAAGAGAGATTAATTGATTTTTTAATCCAGACTATTGAAACAGTAGACAGTAAAAGAGACAGTAAAGACCCATTTGGAATTCGGAGTGTGAGAATAGTATTTCTAAAGCCTATTTTTAAAGACTGTTCTCACCCCACTGTCTACATGGATTAGAAATATTCCAAGCGAACACTGTCTAGGCTGCAACTTCTAGGCGGTTAGGTTTCAAGCGGGCATATATTATTTTTGTTCGAGGCGGCGTAGCCCATGATGTAATAAGAAAGATGTATCATTGCGCACAGTAATGGCGACACGATTAGCGGAGCCAATAAAATTTAGATCCAAATACATCCGCGCAATTTGAACACGAAATAATTACATACGGTCATATGTACTTAAAAAATTTGAAAATATAATGTAAAACTACTTGGAATAATAAACGTTCAAAAATTCTTTTGTAATGAACTAAAATATATTTTGCAACTAAAATATTTCGAGCACTTATTATATACACGATGTTCGATAAAGACCTGTGATAACGTTTATAGATAGATGTAAATATCTGAGATAGTTCAATATAACTGTTCAATATAAGCTAATTCAAATAAATAGTCGGAAATACACAGAAAAATTCAAACTATGCTTTACAAGAAGTTTTACAAGAAAAAAGTTTTACAAGAAGTATATATAAAGGCTGTAGAAGTATATATAAATTTAAACATTTATTGCTTACTACAAATCTATACTTTATAAATTCGTGCACGTAGATTTTCAATTGGCTACTGAGAATTCACATGCGAAACTTGAAAGAATATAAAAGAATCTCAAGGACAAATCGTAAAATTAAATTTAAAAACGGAGAACAGAGTTAAGATATAAAAATATAGCGCTTTGAAAATGAAATGAAAGCCTTACAAAAGATAAGATATTGAAAATCGCTCAGCGATCACGTCGTCATCAGTCGTCACAAAACCACGTAACCTAACTTACATGCTGCAGCCATATTGCTTTTGAACATTTGGACCTAATTCTTATTGGTCGAGACCATGGATTACTGCGCATCCATGATTTGTTTCATCTTTCTTATTACATCATGGCGTAGCCGTCCCGAACTCATGAGTACTAGGGCGGAATCTATAGACGTTGCTCAAGATTCGAGATGGTCTTAGGCCGGAATCAGACTACGCATTGAAGATTGAGGTTGAAGATTGAAGATTGAAATTTGACCAATAAGGACAAAAAAATTTTAGCTCCTTTCGTTTCGATTGGTCAAATTTGAATTTGTCAATCTTCAATCTCAATATTCAATGCGTAATCTGATTCCGGCCTTAAGCTAGTGCATGAACCAATCAGAAAGCCATATTAGCATCTTAAGACCTTAGGTCTGTTCGCGTTGCATGAAATCCCCAAATATTTTTGCACTTAAAATGAGATAGATATATATTTGGCCTTGAAAAGAGAGAAAGCGAAGATGCCGAGTGCCAAAAGTGCAAGCAACGCGAACAGACCTATTGCTTGAGATTAAGGCCGGTATTCATAGTCAGATCTTATTTCAAGACCGTCTTAAGTAATGTCTTAAGATGCTAATACAGCCCTCTGATTGGTTCGTGACATCTCAAGACTGAACTTAAGATCTTGAATATAAGTGCCTTAAGGTCTTGAATATAAGAACTGACTATGAAAACCGGCTTAAGAACAGACTGTGGATCCCTAGTTTACACGGTCTACACACCCCACTCTTTTACTGTGTACAATGCTGGATTCACACTGCATCTGATTTTCTCTCTGCAACCAATCAGAAAACAGGATTCCGATGAATTTTGCTTCGTAATATCGGAATCCTGTTTTCTGATTGAATGCAGAACGTCGTACGACGAAAATCAGATGCAGTGTGAATCCAGCACAAGTCTACATGGGTTACAACATGGAGTAATAAAAAGAAGATCAAGCTCGAAGATGAAATATGGGCTCGAAACACGGTTTCGAAAAATCGAGAAGATATGATTTTAGCGCCATTGCGGGAAAAGTTGGAAGTATTGACTGTCACGTGACATACAGTTCGCTCTCTCTAATCTACATTTTGCTAACCTATATTTCGATTTGGAAATTTCATTTATTTTTAATCACGGAGGCATTTTTAATAAAGAGAATTGAACATTTATATATACCATCTTGATCAAAAAGTTCCCGGAATTATCACCAGGTGATGCTCTGAGTCAGTTGATTTGAGTTCTGTTTTTTTGATTAGGTTGCCACATCTATCATTGACATTTCCACCAAATTTTATCGCCATAGCTTGACATTTGTAAAAGTTACGCCGTCTTGAGTACATCTACCTCTGCACGGTTTTTGATTTTTCCATTACCTCCTTTCGGCTTAAAACGCGTTCCCCGTAGTGGTTTTTTGACTCGAACAGAAAAAAATCGCAGAGAGCCATATCGGGTGAATTCGATGGCTGTTGGATGG